CGTTATGGAAAGTTTCCTGATTGAGGCGGAAAATATTGTGAATTCCCGCTTGCCCACCTGCCGGGTAGTGCGGACCAGGAAGCCCCTCTTACGCCGAATGATCTGCGCAATGGAGCAGCTTTCCCGCCGGTGTAAAGGAAGGAGCCACAAGGAAAAAGAGGCGCTTCGCGAGGATGCTGAGGGACCGCTTCTGGAAGAGGTGGGTCTTTGAGTACCTGCCCACGCTGACACGGAGAGACAAGTGGTGCCGCATAGAGAAGGCGATTTGTCTAGGAGATGTCGTCTTTGTTTGTGACCCAGCTGTGCCGCGTCGAGACTGGCGGAAAGACGTCGTGGAGGAAGCCTTTGCTGGAGTGGATGGAGAGATCAGGCAAGCCAGCGTGCAAATCATTGATGGAGATCGATCTCGCTGGATAATGCGCCCCGCTTCAAAACTGGCGGTTTTGGATTTAAGTGAAGATGTTCTTCACGGAGGTCGAAAGTGATATCGATATCGATAAATTAGTATTTTTTTTCATCGTTTTGTATTAAGACCCTATGGAGAATCAGGCACAATAGAATTAAGTTGTTGTGAATTGTTGTGGGAGGTTAAACTTAACTAAGTTTGAATCATTTATGAATATTGTAACCCCCCCACTGAATAAAATATACCTTTTACGATTGCAACCCGGCAGTGTTGTCAATGGCGCGACTATTATAGGCAACTACCACACGAGCGACGACAAGGATCATATGTCCGAACTAAAATGGTCTCTACCGAATCATATGCTTGAAATTTAAAAACATATATTTTAAATTGTTTACGTCATTAGAACAATTAATCCTCGTTGTCTTTCTATTTTTTCTGTCTGTTTTTGAACTTTTTTTTTATTTTTTTAAACGATATTCTCCGTACGTTTTGAGGACGCGCCCCTTGGTAGGTTGGACCTCCAAGTTTTATGGATTCGCACTAGCCATTTCCTCTATTCTGAAGGACCATGAGAAAAAACAGTGTCACCCTTTCTATGCCCAATAACATCTAATTTTCTCTCTGGTTCTGGTTATAAAAAAAAACAAGAAGATTTCTTTGAGGCGCAAAAATATGACCAAATACACCCAGCGTATAAAAATAAGCAAACCACGGTAAGGCTACTGTGTTGACGCATAGTGGGAATCAAGACTAACACTTGTTTTAAGACACAGTGGCGGGGTCTTCTTCAACCAATTATCAATATAAAAGTTTGGATTATGTTACAATATTTTGGTGAATTGGAAAATCAGCTTAAGTTTTTGTTGGTGTTGTTTGTGGTCAGCATTGTTCGGCGTAGTTCATGACCGAATATTTTTTCTTACTATTTATTATATTTCGTAAATTAATTTTAAATGGAAACACTTAGCTTTAAATAACTATTCAAACACGGAGGTTGCCACTCCCTTTCGGAACGTAGATCACCGTCGAACATCATTGGAACTGTAACCAATACATTATTCGGGGAACTCGAAACGTAGAAAACTTTGCCGCAATGATAAAAGGGGATGAGGATTTCTTCCTATAGCTAATCCAAAACCAAACCTTCATTGTTGCCTCTCCCATTAAGATGGTAAAAAAAGGAAGATTGTCTACCAAAAATTGTCATTGCCAAACCAGCAGATCACAAGTTTCAAAGAAAACAAGAAGGAAGAAAAACGTATCCCGGTCACTCGACCAGGGTCTTTAGCAACAGGCAGAAAATGCACAGCATGGTACATTTCAAATTTTCAGCCAACAAGTACAGAGTATTCTTTTGAGGGGGCCCACATATATTCAAGAGCTCCAATCAAAACGTCCAAACCGATAAATAACTCATCGGGATGCTGCGAAGACAGAGCTGGCACATTCGCTACACACCTTCAAAGTGTCTTTCAGCCAAATCCTTCCTCGAACTCGTTTGTTCTGCCACTAATTTAGATAGAAGCTACCTCTTTGCCACAGAAAATAATTTTTGCTTGGTGGCGAAACATTCTGGATGTACAGCAGATGTATATTTTCTTCCTGTGAGGAAATATCCAGATCGGGTTTCTTTCTTAAGGCTTTCCTTTGAAATAGCAGATCGCCTGGTTGAAAGGGTGTTCATTTATTTCTGGGCTTTGTATAAGCGATAATAGCACTGTCAAGTGGTCTGATGATAAGTCCCAGACTACTTTGGTACTTATTAGATTGCGAAGTATATTTTTGTCACCGCAAAATAGAATAATATTAATAACGGGATACGGGATCCATTAATATTAATTGAGATAATATGTTTTGAGCACGTTAAAAAAATTATCTAAAATTATCTATTATTAAGAATGGGCCAAAGTGTGTGGCTATAAAATGTATCTAAAATATTTATTATACCCTTGCAGAGGGTATTATAATTTTGTCCAAAAGGGTGCCTATATACTACATAAAGTATATATATTCTTGACCAGGATCACGACCTGAGTTGAGCATGAGCATGAGAATGCCCGTCTGTCTGTCTGTCTGTCTGTCTGTTTCTACGCGAACTGGTCTCTCAGCTTTAAAGCTATCGACTTGAAACTTTGCACACATCCTTCTTTACTTTGCGCGCAGACGGGACAATATATGCGATAATATCTTATAGCCGATCATACAACTGATCAATCGAAAATTACATAGCTTTTAGTTGGGGGTTGCTTTTAGTCCCTCGAGTTACAATTAGTACGACCTATCAAGATTCATAGGGAGCTGCCGAAAATCCTATAGCTGCCATACAACTAAAAGGTTAATATTTGAGAAGATATAACGTTTGAACTTTCTACAGGTTCAATTTTGGCCAATCGATTCGACCTACCAAATTTCATTAGGATCGCCCGTTCATATCCTATGCTGCAATTTAACTGAACGTTCGGAAATGGTATTTGATACCTACTTTGGTTTTTTTGAAGATAGAACCTTGGGATTTTATTTTTAAATTTTGTACTCTAATAAATTGGTTTTAATATGAAGTTCTAATGGAGATCAGGTCCTTATTTCCGATATTTGCGGTGTGTTTCGGTTTTTCGAAGTTTTTAGTCCCACCCCAGTAATGACGCCCGTGTAGATCGTTGATCGTTTATTTGTTTTTGTTCGCACATGAGCATAAGCCGGTCAAGGCAAGGGCAGTTGGGCTAACAGTTGATACAGTTTATAAGCACTGATAAGCACTTTAAGTTCCGATAAATTAAATAATCGTAAAATTCATTATTAAATCGAGTCCTTCGAATGTCAAAGTAGAAAAGAAAGCTTAGTCACATGGTAGCCGGCTGAGTTAACAGAGATTCAACATCCGGGGTTAAAGTATCGGTTCTGTAAATTCGGTGTTGCTAGATGCCGCGGGATTAGTTTTACTATCTATCGCAACACTTCGCACTTGTACGAGGGTGGGCAGATAAAAAGTCGACCTAACAAAGAACATTTTTTTTTAATTCGTAAATTGGATTAGTGTTTTCTATCAGCTGATTACTGTGAAAGTTTCATGAAGTTTTATCAACACTGGTAATTTTGGTGGGACTTTTAGCGCATTCACTTTTGCATTGTCGTCAACATTAATAAAATCGAATATCGTGCTGTCATAAGATTTCTTTAAAAGAGAAATCCAACGACAATTTTAAAGAGGAGTTAGACAATGTTTATAAGGATTCAGCTCCATCGTTTTCAACAATAAAATATTTGACTGCTGAATTTAAACGCGGCGAACAAGCAGTTTTGACGATGATCGCCCGGGTCGCCCCATAGAGGTGACAACCCAGAAATTGTGGAAAAAGTCCATGGAACGGTATTGGATGATCGACGAATCAAACTGCGAGTGATTGCAAATGCTCTAAACATTTCTCGGAAACGGGTTGGAAATATTATACAAGAATTTTTACACATGAGTAAGCTTTTGTTAAAATGGGTGCCGCGATTGCTGACAATGGAAAATAAACGCAACCGCTTGCACATTGCGAAGGAGAGTTTCGTTTTGTGACTGTTGACGAAACCTGGATTCATCACCATATACCAGAGAGTAAGGAACAGTCAAAGCAATGGATTTCAACTGGAAAAACGGCACCGAAAAAGGCAAAGATCTGTTTTTCGGCCAACAAGGTGACGGCAACCGTTTTCTGGGATGCAGGAGGTGTCATTCATGTGGATTATCTGGAAAAAGGAAGAACAATTAAGGAAGAATACTATTCCAATCTCTTGTGACGATTTGATTCAGAGCTGAAGAAAACTGGCTACGCGGCTGCCACACATACATGATACTCCTTTTTGCAAGGGGCTTACTCTTCTCGCACCATTTGGTCCGCCTTGTTATTACTGCAAGTATTCTTGTAGCCATCGCTTTCAGAATGAGTCCACCAGTTATTGGGATTCCATCCTGCTATTCCCTAGTGGCACTCCTTCCCAGTGGCACGGAAGGCACTAAGCGCTCACATTCCCAACTTATGTGGGGAGATGCAGGAAGAATAAACTTTCAAGTCATCTGGGGTCCAGTTCGCGGTCGCATTCCAGACTATGCGAAGCTTTCCTGGCTTATTTACGTTTAGCAAGGGAAACAGATACTCAGTAGGAAGTACTACCCTTTCCGTTAGGCACATGGTTACCGGCTGAGTTTACAGAGATTCAACACCCAGGCTTAAACTATCGGTTCTGTAACTTCGGCGATGCCAGATACCGCGAGAGCAATTTTACTGTCTATCTCAACAAGATACATATCAGATTTTAACTGCAATTAAATTCGGCTCCGCCAAAAGTTTGCTTTCCTTTCTTTTTTATATATAGTTATATATAATAAAAGTCTAAAATTCGACAGACAGACAGACGTCCTGATAAAGAATATTAATACTTTATGGGATCGGAGATAATTACTTCTTTATGTTGCTTATACCATATATACATTCATAAAATATACCCTTGTACTTTACAAATACCGGGTATAAAAAATATATAAATAAGCAATTGGATATTTTCAAAATTTAAGCTTAAGAGAGAAAAATGTTAAAATATGGTTTGATACCTTGAATTCCATTTATGGTGACAGTATTGGAAAAATTTACTGCTTTTGGTAATATTTCCGGACATAAAACATTCATTATGAATCGAATTAAAATGGATAGTATCCGCTCCATTTTCTGGTATTTCTCGAATATGGCAATTTACATAAAATTCGTTCCGCCCGTGGTAAATAAATTGGTTGTCACTAATTGTCATAGGAAAACTCCAGGGTTTTTCGGTTGAATCGATGTGATACCAAACAAATATAATTCCATTAGTTTCCTGCGAAATCCAGCTCTTTACCTTTGCTGATCTGGGAACTAGAGAAATTATGACATTTAGATCATAATATTTTCAATTTTTTAAATTATCGTACAAACACATGACTTTGAATTTCCTAGTGTGTTAAAATTAAGTTTATATTTAAATTTAAGTTCTTAACCTATTGCTCGGGGATCCTGGCTTAAAACTACGCATTTTTTTTGTTAAATTTCCTGAATTATATTTCGTTATATTTATCTACGTTATATTTATGTTTTTTTATATATGAAATTCTCATGTCGCTGTGTTGTTCATTATACTCCGTAGTCATTATACTTAGTCATTATTTACCGATTTTTTAGAAATTTTATGTACAGGTCTGAGAATCGGACAATCTAACAATCAATCAATCTTTTATTCATCCCTCTAACGTGTTAGTGTGTGTGTGCGGCAGAACTCAGGCAGAAAAATTTCCTATCAGGCCAATTTGAGTCATCAAATTCTGTGGCCGCGCGAGATAGAAGAGATTAGGTGAAAAGTAACGTCAATTACAATCGCAAGTGGCACGAGATAAACCTTATCAGCAAAGACAACATAAACGAAGGGAAATGCTTAGATTCATAGTTTACGAACATTTACCTAGGGATAATTTCTTCGACTACCCGGATGTTGAATGTTATGCTCATTCCAAAGTGATTATAGGTACTTTAGAAAAAGAATGCATGTATTGGCATACACTTAAATTTAAAAATGAACCAGCTTGGATGTGTTGCTCATCAGGAAAAATACAACTACCCGTAATTATAACACCACCTGAACCATTGCGTGGCTTACTTCTCGGCAGAGATCTAGATTCTAGCCTGTTCCTGAAGTCAATTCATATATTCAATGCACGCTTCCAAATGACATCGTTTGGAGCAACAGAAAAAGTTGACAATATTTCCGAACTTGTTAACGAGCAACCATTTTATCCCACGTTCAAATGCCAAGGATTCACAAGGGCACAAAGTGGGTTCATTGCTGCCAATGCCAAACAAATCTCATAATTGTTTAAAAATCTTGTTTATGGGGGGGAAGTATTTTCCACGTCACCTCGCCAATCGTGTCGATGAACATTGCGAGTACCATAATCTCAATTCACCTTTTGCCAGGCGTACCGTCGACTAGCTGGACGCTTTGTTAAATGAGCACAATGACTTGTAGAAGTTATTTAAGTCCATGCACAAGCTAAAAAGTGATCTATTCACGCTATTGTCATCAATATTGATAGTATACCAGCAAGAGACCATATACGTAAGTTTAATGCACATATTTTTCATCCTGTGATTCGAAAAGGAGAGAACGTTCTTCAGTTCATCACATCGCCACATGACGCTCATCAATATCCACAAATTTTTTAGAAGGGACAAGATGGATATTGCGTTAACATGATCTCGTAACAGCTAGTTCATTCATTATTTAAAACATAATTAATGTATTAGTAAAAGAAAAATTTTTAATTATTGAAAGAGCCAAAAAAAATCTGAACGTTAGCTCGAATGATTTTTATACCCTTGCAGAGGGTATTATAATTTTGTCCAAAATTGTGCAGCGCAGTGAAGGAGACATCTCTGAGTCTATAAAGTATATATATTCTTGATCAGAATAACCTCCTGAGTTGATATAAGCATATTCGTCTGTCCGCCTGTCGACTTGAAACTTTGCACACATTCTTCTTTCCTTTGCACGAAGTATATAAGTCGGAACGACCGGCATCGGCCGACTATATCCTATATCTGCCATATAACTGATTGATCGGAAATGGTATAACTTTGGTGTTTTTAAAGTTAAAGAGAGTTTTTAGAGTTCAAATCTTACACGAGAGCTATTTTTGGCAAAAAATTACGACATGCCAAATTTCATAAGGATCGGTCGACTATATCCTATAGCTGCCATATAACTGACCGATCGGAAATAACCTAACTTTCGTGTTTTTGAAGATAGAAAGCAGGAACTTGGTACAGATTATATTTTTGGTCAGATAGTCCGACCTACCAAATTCTATAACGATCGGCTGATTATATCTTATAGCTGCCATATAACTGAACGATCGGAAAAGGTTTTTGGTAGAAATACCAATTTTGGTATTTTTGAGGATAGAAGTTTGGGACTTTTTTTTAGATTCCAAATTATAATAAATTGGGTTATATTAACATATTCTCATAAGGATCGGCCAACTATATCCGATGTTTGCGATATATATCCTGTTTATACTGCAAGGGTATATCAACTTCGGCTCCGCCCGAAGTTAGCTTTCCTTTCTTGTTATTCATATTGTTAAATGATTTGATGCGGCCGATACATCATTTTACGATTTCGTGAGCTTTGTCAACAATTTATTGTCGACATGTATGTGAAGATAAAGAGTGACATTACAGCACGTGTGTTTTATCAAAAATTAAAGTCGTTAATGAACTTTGTTACTAAATTGCATGTATTTGGGCCCAAATGTAGTTGTATGTATTCAGTCGAGTGGCAACATCGTGGATTACCTTATGCTCACGTTTTAATTTGGTTTGTCGATAAAATACGTTCTGAAGACATCGATAGTATTATTTCACCTTGGATGGTAGACGGGAAATGGAGAAACGTTTTCCTAAAGATTTCCCTAACGACACAATCATACATATTGACTTATATCGCCGAAGAAGTACCGAAAAGGGCGAACAATCGTACAGTGCAACTATTCAAACAGTAGAAATCGATATTAAAACTCGGTGGGTTATATGTCAATAACAAAATCAATTTGCCTGTAATTAAAATGGAAAATACTAATTTAAATGCTACTCGGATAAATGAAAATGACGAAAGTAAAAATTATGAAATTGAGTTCATTGCCGAATTTTAAGATGATTGGATTGCCAGATATGCCACTGTTTGGTCATTAATGATTTTCAATGCCATTAAAATAAAACGAAGAAGTTAATTAAGTTCAACGTTATAAACTTTATTCAGGCCGCATATGAAATTAAGATTTATGAGGATTTATGAACAATATGGGAAATCCAATTTAGGATGCGAGCGCAGTAAGAAGACGAACGAGAGTGGCGCCAACCTTCCAGAATAGGCTGAGAGGATGCTCGATAACTTTAAACGCCGAATTAGCAAAGCCGAGCGGCCGATAGAGAGTCGGCTTGCGACCAACAAAAGATCAGTTACTACTTATTTATTATGTTTAAATTAGTTGCTTGCTGCTTGATCCGACATTCTCCCCCCAGTTGGGGCTTCTACTCCAACTTCATCCTTAAGGGGCAAAAGGCACAGCTTAGTCAATGCTCGCTTGGTAATTCTAGATGAGGGTTTTATCACCGCCACTCGAAAGATACCATCCCGACCAGGGATTAACTCCATTATTCTCGCAAGCGGCCATTTCATCGGAGGTAGATTCTCGTCCTTTACTAGCACCACATCGTTCGGGGCCAAGGCAGGACCGGAGCGCTGCTGGAGAAGGCTTAGGTACTCCTCCTTCCATAGGGACCAGAAAGACTGCTGCAGGGAAGACACGCGTTGCCAGCTGTCCAACCGGTTGAAGTTCAGCTTTGTGACATCCGGCTCGATAAAGCTGACTGACGGACCACCAGTTAAAAAATGAGCCGGGGTCAGAAAGAGACAATAAGGCTCGTGATTTATAACAGCCCCAATATGGCACAGCAGCGTTCGCAGCTCCTCGAATCCAAGAACTGCAGATCCGACAGCTCGGTAAAAATGGTGCTTGGCGGTTTTAACAGCCGCTTCCTACAGACCACCGAAATGCGGAGATCGAGGAGGAATAAAATGCCATTCGATGGACTCCATAGAGCAAAATTCCAGCAGTGCCCGTTGATGCTCTTCGCTTAGAAATAATCGGCGCAGCTCCTTTAGCTCGTTTTCGGCTGCAACAAAGTTGGTTGCGTTGTCAAACCAAATATGTTAAGGCCTTCGGCGGGTGCATATAAACCGCTTCAAAGCCTGCAAAAAAGACATTGTGGACAAATCCCTTACAAGCTCCAAGTTGACGGCTTTGGTAGCAAAACAAATGAAAACGCTAACGTAACATTTTACTGGAGCCTTATTACGCACTTCCGGCTTATAATAGAACGGTCCACAAAAATCCACACCAGTGACTCCAAAGACCTGGGAGCCGCTAACTCTTTGCTCCGGGATATCAGCCATAATGTGCTTCAACAGTGCGCGAGGTCCCGTATGTAAATTTCGCTCATGGAAGTCAATAATTATAGCCTGCGTAACTCATTTAGCCTCAGTATAGCCTCATTTTTAGCAGTTCGGACAATGCATCAGTTGGCAGATGATGAGCAAATAATGTTTCCAAAGGGGGCCGAAATTCTGCGTCGCGACTTTTATGTGGATGATCTGCTTTCCGGAGGCGACTCTATAGATGAAGCTATTAGCATAATGCAGCAAACATCCGCGATCCTTGCCAAAGGCCATTTTCGGTTAAGGAAGTGGTGCTCCAAAGCTGCTGACGTGCTGGATAAGGTGCCTGAAGAAGATCGAGAGTCGTTCCTAAGGTTTGATGATGGCAGCAACTTCACAAAGACACTGGGTCTTGCTTGGGATCCTGCAACTGACCGCTTGCTATTTTCTTTTGAAGGGATTCAGTCAATCTCAAAGCCCACTAGGCGCATTGTGCTTTCTTCAGTCGCTCGGCTTTATGACCCCTTAGGCCTTGTTGGTCCTGTAATTTCAAAGGCAAAGATCTTTCTCCAGAAACTGTGCCGTGAGAAGTTGTCCTGAGATGAAAGTCTTCCTCAAGCTCTTCACTGCGACTGGAATATGATTTGTAGCAGCTTTGTTAGTACGCAGCGCGCCGAATTCCCTAGATGGGTGCTAACATTGAAATCCGCGGTGGAGGTCCATGGATTCTGTGACGCCAGCATTGAGGCGTATGGGGCATGCGACTTATGTCGGAAGTAGAGCAGTTGAAGGTCTACGTTGGAAAGTATTTTTGCTGGTGCGATTCTGCTGTGGCTCTGTCTTGGATTCGAGAAGAACCCTCTCGGTTTAATGTTTTCGTCGCCAA